AGGCATCGTGGGCCTCCAGCACCCTGGGGTTTTGGTTCACAGAGTTGCTTGAGCGGAACCGGCAGTTCCAGGCTTGGATCTTTGAAGGGCGGCCCAACTGCTTCTGGATGACAGGCTTCTTCAACCCGCAGGGCTTCCTGACAGCCATGAGACAGGTACGCACGGCATCAGGCTACCCACCTACTTAACCACTGCGGGGGAGGGGACCAGATGGCACGCAGAGGGAGAAGCAGGCACACGGCCACATTGACACTCACACATGCATGTATACACACACACACACACACAGGAAAGCAAGCACAATCACACTGCACACACTCTGTTTTCCAATTTATATTAATGTGCAGGGATTGAATACCACAGAGGAATGTTTAACCGTAATTCATCCAGATCTCAAGTCATGTCCATGATGTTAGGACTCATTGTTCTTATATATTATAAAATCCAAAAATGTATCTAGATTTATAGGGAGCATAAAAAAAGACATTGGATTACATAATATGCATCTCAGAGCAAGCACTCTTTAGTTAACAATTTATATGTTATAATATATTTATACTGTACTTTTTCTTTTAACTTGAGGCTCAGCTAGTGCATTTGCATTTCTCCCAGTTTTTCAATGTAAGCATTTTCTGTCTTGTCCTTTGTGCCTTTTTTGCTGCAGGATAGACGACAACTTTTAAAATTCTGGTGAAACCAGTACCAGCGATCTGGGGAGCAAAACAAAAAATGAGCCTTTGACATTGTGTTAAATATGACCTCTTATCTTATACAAAGAGGATGAGCTGATGTTTAATTTCCTACAACAGGCATCCAGTTAACTCAAGGACACAAACTTCATGAGTTTCATGAATGATTGGAATTCAATACAGATGTTCACACTTTAAATACTTTGTTTATACTGGCCAATAAGGCTTCCACCCTTTTGGGGAGCTCTTGCTTTTATCCTGAGACCTACAACATCTATTTGAATTTTTTTAGTATTTAACACATTGAGGTCTTTTTATACAGTAACACTGAGATAGAGACGCATGATGGTGCAGTGGATAAGACACTGTTTTTGTGTGAGACATCCCTAGTTGCTCCAGAGGCATGCGACCTCTGACATATACAGCAATTGTAAGTTGCTCTGGATAAAAGACAAAAAACAAATCAATTTACTTTGCAATTTGCGCAGTAGTAGGAAAAGGACATCATTTATTATTGGTGTCAGTTTTGCACATCTGACTGCCTTCTAATGTAATGCATTCCATTGTAGAAAATCCCAGTTGCCTGCTCAGTCAGAGAAAATATCATGGATGCAGATGTCTGTATTTTACTGAGCAGGGATTTGTTGGACGTCTGTGTTAGTTCCCAAATATAGCCATCATTTCCTCTCACTGAGCTTGTACAGTATACTGCTTTCTCGGGAGAGATGCTGCAGCTTTTGTAGTGGCATCACAAACCGTATACAGGGTGCTTTGATTCTGTGTAAGCCTGAAATTCTTGGCATGTTTTTATAATCTGTCCTCTGTGCGTCTGTCCTTCGTATTTATCATTCTTTATCTGGTCAATTTTGCCAAATAAGATTTTTTTTTCTCCTTCAAAATGAGCATAAAATGACTGAGGGGATACACACACACATTTAATTTATTTAGTGTGCACTCTGCTCTCGCTCTTTTTGAGTTGTATTGGATTTATTTTCTTTCTGTTGGCATAGCATCTCACAAAACGACGACATTGGTGGAGTACACTTCTCTACCCTACTCAGTGCTTTTTTTTATTGTATTGTCTCTTTTACAGCCTTGTTATGAAAATAGATTTTTTTTGCGTGCAAAACAGATGCCAAATGTCAGCTCTGTCATGCATGCTTACTGCCTTGTCAAACTGCCCACATTGCTGCATAAACCTATGGATTTCTCCATGCATCTGCAGGAGATCACCCGGGCCAACAAGGGCTGGGCCCTGGACCGCATGGTGCTGTGCAACGAGGTGACCAGGTGGATGAAGGACGACGTCACCCAGCCCCCCGCAGAGGGAGTGTACGTCTACGGCCTGTACCTGGAGGGAGCCGGCTGGGACCGCCGCAGCTGCAAACTCATCGACTCCAAGCCCAAAGTCCTATTCGAGATGATGCCCGTGATCAGGATGTATGCTGAGAACAATGGTGAGCTTTACTGTGTGAGAGTGGATTTTGATGATGAGTCTGAATTGAAAACTCTACTCTGACAATGTAAAAGCTTTAATCCTGGCTCTTTTCTGTATCAGGATCAGTCTCTGTCTCTCCTCCTCAACATTTACATCCTACGCAATCACTCAGAATGGATAGACGTAACATTTAAATGTCAAGCAGACTAAGTGCTATTTATTTTGTCTGGGAATAGATTACCGGCAGTATGTGGCACAGTGTTTGTTCTGGATAAGACCAGACTATATTCAGGCAGGCAGCAGAGACGGGCCCCATTTGGATGCCTGCAAGCAAGGCTGCCTGGGAAATGAATTAATGATCCAATGATACGTGTAATGCGGTTTGTTTACACCATGTCCCCTCCCAGCTTTTCCCACAAGAAGCCTGCCTGCTGGGTGTCTGTGTTTGTGTGTGTGTCAGTTCAACACATGTGAGTCTTGAAAACTGCTCTACTTAATTGTGAGATTAATTTGATCCCTGTGTATATCATCGCTGAAGACTGACTCGACAATGGCTGCTTTTTTGCTTGTGAAAATTAGGGTTTTTATGCTGATGGGTGGGCTGTTGAAGAACACTCAAGTAGCGCTCCAGCATGTTGTCACTGACGGGCTGACAACAAACCAGCTACCAAGCTTACTGCTTAAGACCCAGCACGTAAGGTGGTGCTGTGGGAGCGGTGGGACATAACCACCTGTTCTGCCAAGAGTTACTGATTGATTTGAGCAGGATTTTTTCGCTGTGTTAAACACAGCTGGGTCTCTCATTGGCATCTCCACACTGATTTAAATGTTTCATTGACTTAAAATAATTTTATGTATAAAGATGTTTTAATTATGACTTTAACGAAGAGACAATTGTGCCAGCTGTTGCTGTTTTCTATTAGTTTTTATCAAAAATGAGTTGCTGTGTTAAGAGTTTCTTCTTTAGCAGTGTGCATGAAGTGACACTTTCCTGTGTTTCAGGTGCGAAGGATTCGCGCCTCTACTCCTGTCCAATCTACAAGAAGCCAGTTAGGACCGACATGAATTACATCGCAGCTGTAGCCCTGAAGACTTCCCTTCCTCCAGAATACTGGATCCTACGGGGTGTGGCACTCCTCTGTGACGTCAAATGATCGCTTCATGTTGAGAAACACTGACTGGTTATAAAAGAGGTGGTATTACGGTTTTTGGCTTTTTCCCTCTCCTTTATTGAGTTATATATCTTTTTTGTGCATGTACTAGGTTAGTAAAGTGAAAAAGCTCAAAGTCCACCCCAAAGGGAGTGGCCATCTCGCACAGAAAACACTGCTTGAAAACAGCTCGTTTGTAGTCCAGCCTTTACTTCCCTTTCTTTTGACGTCACAATGAAAATACGTGTCATAATGCTCGTCCGACATGCCCTCAAAAACACCGAGTTGCAGCACACCTCTCCTCTCCCTTCCAAACACTAACTACCCTCCAAGCAGTCAATGGACATGAAGTTGTTACTGTGATGTAGAGACAGAGCTCAGTTAAAACTTTATGGATGAAAGATACTTTTGTTACAGATTAATAACTGACCACTCTGAAACTCTTGCTCCAGTCCAAATTGCCAACCTGGTCAGCAACATGTAGCCTACAGCTGAATCGAAGCTGTTTACCGTCTTTTCGCTGACCCGCCTTTCTCTGCTTCCGATTGGCTATTACCGGCCTTTCGCTGACCTGCCCTTCTCTGCTTCTGAGCTAGTAGTCCTTAACTAGGAACTGCGCGTGTGCAACTCCCAACAAAGATCATTTAGAGACAAGATCTATCACTCCATAGCTAAAACAAAGCCTTCAACACAGGGTGAAAAGAGGAATACAGCAATGTGCAGTATGACAATAAATATGGTGTTTTTTGAAAATGAAACCATGTAAACCTGTTCTGATACAACGCCTAAATAGGCTTTTGAACCTGAAAATGAGCATAATACCACCTCTTTAACTTCCCATCAGTCCTGTGCCCAATGTCCTAGAGCATGCAGGGTAAACATCTGTTACCATGGCTACCACTATGTTGTTTTTTTAAGACTCAGCTGTGTACTTTGTTTCTATTACAAAGTAGGAAGATGTGACAGAGTAGGGGGGCCAGTGCTGAAACATGCAGTTCATGTTACTGTGCAGATAATGTCAGGAGCTGAGGTCAAATAATGTTTTTAGTCCAGTCAACACAAGGTCAAACATCATGTCAGTGTTGTCCGTTTTACTTTTGGTCAAAGGAGACAAAGACAGCTGTAGTGTAATAACTGAAGTTCAGCTATAAATGTCTGAATTCCTCATCTTGTGTAATTTCTGTATTATTAGAGTTTGGTCTTCTGCTAGCTGTGTTTGACATGTAATACGTACCATAACAGAAACTATTTTTAGATCACAATGAAGATGATAGTCAGGTTTTCTTTTTTTTTCTCCTTACAATTATGTCCAATATGCAAAGGAATTATCTTTTTATTCACCATATTGAGTGTACTTACCCTGGTTGTCTCTATTCCTACTTTTCAAAACTGAAATGTTTGCCTCTTAAAATGGAAACAGCAGTGTGAAACTGTGCTGCTTCACTGAATGATTCAACTTTGGCCCAGATAAGTCTAGACATATTATATCTGTCCATCTGCTCACCAGGAGCATTGCCCAATGTCAAGTATGTACCATGTTCCTAAAGACAAAATCATATTGAACCAGAGTGGACTCATTCTAGATCATGGGAGCCACATATTTGATTGATCAATCCAGTGTGCAGGGATATTTTCCCCATACTGTGCACTTCACAGGACACCCCTGTCATGTGTTTTATATTTTTTTAAAGAACCAGGGCCAATAATAGCACTCAATAGAACTGAAATACATAGAAATTTTAATGAAGTTTTTACAAAAAACAAAGGCATCATCAATACATCAAAACACTTTTTTGGTAGTATTTTCTTTTGTTACAAAACCACCGTACCATATGCACTCTAAAGCTACCCTGTACACAGATCAGGCTTGGGTTTCCCAAATTATAATCTTGACACTAAAATCATCTTTATCCCTTTGTTATCCAGTAGTTTGACTCTAACGGCTCTGATCCTTTCAACCTTGTCTGAACAGCAACCGACACCTGATTTTCCATTTTCAGCAGGCATTGCCAAATCAGACCTATGGCATAAAGACTAATATTGTTAGTTTTGTGTAAACAGTCAATGAAGACAAGATAATTTAAGTGCAAAGACAGCTGTGGTGAAACTTGGCCCTGCATGAATATCACAATATATTCATAGATTATTTTTTTATGCTTTTTCCTTGTATGGGCCATCTGTAAAATACATCCAAGACTTCTTGCTTCTGCAAGGTTGAAGAGTTATATACACGTATGTATGTCTCCTTGTTGGCTGCCTGTTTTTACACAGGACCAGCTTCTCCTTTGCAACAGGGGTCATGCACTTTTCCTTAGTAACATCTGTCCTTAGATTTCATTCTGATATCAGATGTTCCTTCTGATGCCTTTTGTATCACTTTAAATTAAGTTGGGGACACGCAAACTTCCTTATATCCATAACACCAGCATGTCTTTAAATAAATTACCATTGTTTACTCTCAAGAGGCCTTGATGTTTTTGTTTCCACTCTTGGTTTCCCTTCTTTTCACTGTATAGTACATCGTTTGAAATCCAAAATGTACTGTCACATGAACAGAACATAGATTCTGTTTTCGGTGTACCTGGCTGTAAAAGAGTATTTTACGGCAAAGAGACTGCTAAGGGCCTCCAAGAACTGAGTCAGAATATTAATTTAGACCATTTCAGATTCTCCACTGTGGCTTTTCTAAATCCAACATTCTTATGACATTATATTTCTGGGGTTATTGCCTACTTGCTGTACATGCTACACTTACAGTTACATAAGTGACAAAATGTATATTACAGCTGTGGCATAGGTAACTTGCAATGCAACATTAAAATCAGATTTTTATCTACCTCACAGCGCAGATCTGATTCCTTCGTGCCTCACACTTTGTTTCGGTTACAACAGCATTGAGGACATCTGTTCTTTGTGCCTGTCTAAAGTCCAGCATTATCTGAGCCAATCTTACGGCATTACATTCCCTTGGGACAGTGAGCGGGTCATCTCTGTGTGAACAAAGTAAGTCTTGAGCTCTCCTTTGCCCTTGACGTTGATGATGCCTCTACAAGAGCACATGTAGCCCAGGGTCAGAAGGATGCGACTCGTCTCCTCCGTCACCTACAGGGAGAACCAGATGGGTAACGTCCATTTTGCTTATCTCACACGATTGAATTAAATTCCTGCTGGCAAACATACTCAGCTCTTCAAATGAATACATTTTCAAGAGCTGAGGAAAATTCTCAAGTAACAAGTTCTTGTATACTTGGCATGCTGCTCAGCATCACCAGAACTCTTTTGCATTTTAGCAGACAAAATCAAGATTTAAGTTGGATTTGAAGTATGTGTCTAAACCCTAAACTTTGCAAAAATACGTGTCCCACAGCTTCTGCATTAAATTCAATTTGTATATTAAAAACTTAAAAATAACAGAGCAGCCTACTGCAGTTTCCAGAGAACGAAGTAGTACTTCTGGGATTTAAAATTAGGAAACATCAGTAAAATCAACATAGGATGGGAAATAGCTGTGCACTACCTCAGAACTGCAAGTGAAAGCAGTTTGCTCTATCAAATGTGTACAGGCTTTGAAGTGTAATACAGTCCTCTGAAGACTGAATGAGACCCACAGCCACATGCAGGTGAAAAACCATTACGTCTTATCAGCGCTCAGGTGGGGTGCGATGATAAGATTTAAAGGAGTCACATGACGTTGAGACTGCTACCACAAACAGCATGAGTAGAGGGGATGAGTAGTTTTATCTTTACAACGTCTACATACAAAATGGATCAGTGCTTCTGCTGCTTTGTGTTTGAAGTTGACAGTTTCAATGTGATGTTGGGCATATACAAAGAATGAGAGGTTTATTCTTGAATGCATCACAGAAGATGGTCATGGCTGGAGTTATTCTGTATTATTTTTAGCCAATGCTGTGAAAAAAAAAAACATTTTCATAGGATGTGTTGACATGCAGAATATCACTGGACATATCCCTTAATTACCTGTATTTTTCCTAGGACTCCAGTGCTGTCCATTCGGCTGGCTACATTCACTGTGTTCCCCCAGATATCATATTGTGGTTTTTGGGCTCCAATGACTCCAGCAATCACTGGACCATGGTTGATACCTGACAAAGGACGCGAAACAATCAGTGAACATTTCAGCTGTATATGTACAGGTTGTACTCAATAACTACATGGTCACATTTATGTTTTTTGATCTGAATGGGGAAATTACAGAACACAGGACACATGTTAAGAGACTTTTTCAAAAACGAAAATAAGGTAGCTACATCAGGAAACAGCAAGCACTTGTAAAAATGTCTTGTTTTTGATTTCTGATGTCACACTTGAACAATGTTGTTGGAAATGTATAAAAAAATCAATTTGACACAACTGATTAATTATTGAGTGCAGCCTGAGAGCAGCTCCAAAACGGTAAGAGTAAGAGACCTGCTGCTTTCAGAATAAACAAAAGGTTTTCACAAGATTTCATCAGAACATGAGATAAGTGGGGAAAACTAAATGTAGCTGAACTCTTATTCCCAACATTCTCAGCACCTCTGCTGAGCAGGCTCTGGAGCTTTTTACAGCACTGAGATGACCTCTATTCACTTTGGCTTCTGAGTCAATCTACACAAGTGCGTAGGCAGCAAACACAGGCGCACGGCCAGAGGTTTGGGCCGGTCCCAGTGGGTGGAGTCTTGTATCTCTCTCTGATGGTAGCGTTTTAGGCCTATCTGGAAGCAGCAGGGATGTACAGTCACACACTGCTGAGTTAATGGAGCATCCCATGCTGTGATCTTCAAAGACAGGTTGAAGGTATCGAACTGTGACTCCAACCACACGCAGAGAGCTGGGACTTGCCCGCCTGCTTTCCTCCTCTATTCTCCCTCTGCTCTTTAATCCCTCTCTGCTGCCATGTTGCCATGACTATACCTATGTCTTGCTGCGAACAGCAGTTTATTTGGTTATTACTTAAACATGTACAAATCTCTCTCTGTTTCTATCAAGATAATTACATTACCCCCACGGCATAATGGTGCTCTAAAATAGAAAAAAATGTTATGCATAAAGGCTACAAGTCCGTAAACAACTTATCAACGGGGCATACAAAAAAGTAAACCGTGTTCTATTTTGAGGGAGTGATTCAAAGCAGCATAATAATAAGACATGGTCTCTGCCAATACAATATCAAGTCTGTAAGAGTTGCCACTCTCATCCAACAGCAGGGATATTGTCGCGCTCTCATATTTCATCTAATTCATCTGCTGCATTTTGATGTCGGACAAAGTCGCTTCCCTGCTGCTGAATTCTATTATATTTAAAGCACTTCACATTTTCCATGCTCACTATGTACTGAGCATCTTGCGGATGATGATGATGAATTCACGCTGCAGTCACTTTTTGAAAATGTTATGGTACAACAGGCAAAATGCAGTTAAACTGTGGGTAAGATGTTATTTGGAAAAGTTGTTGAACTCACTCTCACGGCACTTTTAAATGTCGCTTTCATGTGTAACTCACCAACTCTGAGTTTGAAGTCATTGAAGGAGTGTTTGTTGATAACATCCAGCTTCCCCACCAAGGCAAATGCAAACTCTAACATGGTCCCTATGTGCATGTACTGCCTGTCATGCTCCTGCGTAAAACAGTGAGGAACAGAACCAGTAACACATTCACTTCTAGTTAAATGTGATTTTGCTGCAGTCGCACAAAGTTCTGAGAAGTGACGTCAAAGACTTGGGGAATTAGATATGTTTGAAAATAACAAAAAGTATGTGTGATTTTAGTGTGTGTGAGTGTGTGTGTGATAGAGAGAGTGAGATGAGCCTACCTGTGATGTGTACTCAGGCCCAGGTGATGCGTTCAGTCCAGTGGCAGCCATGTAAGTGCTGCCAATGGTCTTGATCTTTTCCACACCGCTGAATTTAGGCTTGGACAGCAGCTGCACACACAAATGCAATCACAGTCCACACAACAGTTAAAACAAATGAGAAGCTTATAGAGGATGTACATGCAGCCATGTGCATATATGTAAAAAATATTCTTTATGCAGTTCCCCCCTGTCTGCCTGCCACTGAAAACCTCACAGAAAATTCAGATAGCATTACAAGAGGTTGTAGCTTGCACATGAGATGCATAATTCAGTGTCCGATCATATAGTGCTAGAAAATCACTGAACCCTGCTGGAGGAGATACACCCTGCTTTGTGTCTAGCATTCACGGTCCATGCGTATGATGCTGTGAAGTTTGGGAGGCTTATTTACCTCATCAAAATCAGCAATGATCTCGTTGAGGAGCCTGAGGCACTCTAATCCTTCTTTGTTGACGTCAGATTCGGTGTAGAACTCTTTAAAGTCTGGGATGGAGGCGAACATGACACACACCAGGTCATAGGACTGGTGATACAGATCCTGTATGACAAAAAGCAGCGGACAAAAGACAGACATTTAGCTTGCACAGCTGAAAAACAGTGGTCTAAAACTGATAAACCACAGACTTAATATGGATGAAATGCAGATGAAACAATTCTGATGTATTATTTCAAGCTAAGCACGATGAAATAAATCTCTGATTTGAATCGTGAGTGTGTTTAAGCTAAAAAATTACTTGACAGCATTCTCAGACTTCAGTGGGAAAACGGAAGCAGGCAAAACAAGTGATAAACCATACAAACGGCAGTGAATCTAAAATCCATTACACCAGCAACTTGCTCCTGAATCCTGTTCAATTGCAGGAATAGAGTAGTCGAGTAGAGACTCTTCATTCAGATTTTTTTTTGTAGCAAATGCAGTATCCCCCATTTTAAACTACCATGACCTCCAGGATGCCACGTCCTCTAAACTTTCTAAGATGTAAAACTTTATTTTTCACAGTTCGCACTGTGAGAAGCACTCAGGGGATATAACAGGATTCAGAATGATAAATGAGGAAAATCTCACAGGCAAGTCAGTAAATTCATCTAGTCAGTGTCTCCCAATGTTTTGTCATCACTGTAAGTAATTAATCATTCCTATACTAAATCACAGGAGCCAGTTCCATTTTAAAAGTTTTCATTTTGAACAAAGCACTACCTGAAATTTCAAACTCTCTCCAAAAAAAAAAACAATTACCAAAATCAAAGTACTTTCCATTCACCACCAAGCATTTTTTAATGTACTTTTAGAACCTCATCTCTCTACTGTACATTCTGGGTTTGGATACTTAACATTTCCTGCATAAACTCTTCCATTAAACTGATTGGCTAAAGCCCAACTAAAATATCCAATGTATGTCTTATAATATTAATACCCATTCTGATTTTTAAGTAGATCAAAAAAATCAACATAATTAGTAGCAAATAAATAAAACATGTACATAATTCAGATCTATTGTATTGACTTGAAACATGGATTATCTTTGAGGTAAGCTGCTTTTGCAATGCCTCATCAGAGCTAATGAATTAATGTAATGGATTTTGCCATTTAGCCAGTGGCACTGCAAGACCTCTGTGAAACCACAATGCATCAGTCCTACAGCCGTTTGTCAAAACAGAACTTACATCATCCTTCATATCCCTAAGAAGAGAGGACATAATAAATGCCTACCTCATTCTTCCAGTTGCGCGCCAGGAAATGTTCTGCAACGTGCGCAGGCAGGACATTCTCCAACAAAACCCGGTTGAGGTTCTCCATCGTTTCAATCTCCTCGCACTCCTTCTTGAACTTGTTCTTCCACAGAAAGTCTAACCTACAGTAATATTCATTCTGTTACAAGAGGACACAGAGGTGAAGAGACTGAAGGTACAGCTGTACTGCTTGCTTCCATCAAGTCACAGAGAAAAATAGACACAATAGAAGTGTGGATTTCACCAAGGATTAAAGAAAATGTGACGTTGAAAAGAACGAGCTACACCTTTGTTCCACATGCACCTTCCATCAAGAAAGACAGAAATACAGTGATGGTTAAATCACATAAATGAATAGCTACAAAAACATGATTACCAGCATTATATTAACAAGACTTTTCAAAGAACACAGCGCTAGGAAATCCTAGGGCTGAAAGATTTGGGGGAAAAGTTTTCAGCCCGATGTTGTGATTATGATTTGATTTTTTTTAATTGTAAAAGTTTTGCTAAAGTTCAATATTCACTGCCAGTCTATTTTTGACTGAAGCGCCAAGCAACACAGAGCAGATGAACTAGAACGGCATACAAAATCTTAAATTAAATAAAACACCTTTTGCTCATTCCCGATCATACATCAACAGTTAAAAACAGACAAAAAAAAAAAAAGAAACGTTTTACTACCTAGCTACTTAACCATGGTAGAAGCACAAAAAACAAGGACAACTGAACAAATAAGCAAAATCTGAACAAGTCCGCAAAGTCAGACAGGCAAAACGCTCTTATTCTGAAATGCTCCAAGTGGATAAGTAACGTTAGCCTGCAGAGAGCGGAACGGGCTCACAGAGAGCTGTTGTCCGTAGTGGAAGCACACAAAATGACAAATTAACAACACGTCAACAACGTAGGGCAGGCTAAACGCTCCGCTGCTGAAACACTTCCGTGTGAGTTGACGCTAGACAAAACCGCGGTACAGCTGTGTCAGTTCGGCTGGCGCCATTATCCCACGTTTTCCTCTAGTTTCGTTTGTTGTAAAATGTACACGCCCTGTGCCAGCTCTGATTGGTGAGTAGGACCCATAGGAGAAGCATTGCGCTTGTGATTGGCGAGCAGGATTGTCATACAAGGACGGAGGAATGAATGAATTTATAACTGCACGAGTGTTTAAAACAGGTCAGATGCGCTGTATAATTAAGCTACATTTTAATCGGCATCTTCATGTTTAGCTAATCGCGTTCTTTCAAATCGCAGTTTCGATTTGAAAACGATTAATTGTTCAGCCCTAGGCAATCCAGAGAAAATGCTTCAGGGAAGGTAAGGAATGAGTTTCTTCAGTGAGAATATTGTGGGTACAATTTGTAACATTATTCTTGTACAGCCTTCTATGATTTCCCTAGTAATATCCATCATCAACTCCTCACTGTGCACTGGTTCCACCCTGTCTGAAAGCTGCCATAATCAAACCAACACTGAAAAACCCTGGTTTAGACTGCAATGATCACAACAACTACAGGCCAATTTCCACCTTACCATTCATATTGAAAAATCTGGAAAGGGTTGTTGCATCTCAACTACAGACCTACTTCAGTAAAAACAATCTCTTGGAAAAATTCCAGTCTGGCTTCAGACCCAGACACAGCACAGAAACTGCCCCGACTAAGATCACCAACGAGCTCCTCCGTGCAACAGATTCCGTTCTACTCTCCATTCTCATCCTCTTGGACCTCACAGCATCTTTTGACACCGTATCACTTCTCATCCTCATGGACCGCCTGGCCAATATAGGAATTGGGGGCACTGTCCATGAATGGTTTGCTTCCTACCTCTCAGGAAGGTCACAATATGTACAAATCCAAAACTACAGATCAGAAACCTCTGATCCACAATGGAGTACCGCAGGGTTCAGTGCTAGAACCACTATTATTTATCATCTACCTCCACCCTCTTGGCAACATCTTCCGGCACTACAACATCCATTTTCACTGTTATGCTGACGTTACACAGCTCTATCTGTCTACAAACCCCAGCTCCACACTCCCCTCCAGTACACTCATTGCCTGTCTACATGACATTCAGACATGGATGACAACAAATTACCTACATCTCAACAATAGTAAGACTGAGCTACTGCTCATTGGTTCAAAACCTACTCTGTCAAAAACCAACACCAGCTCACTCCCTATTATATGGAACCGCCATACCTGTCTCCACACAGGTTAAGAGCCTCGGTGTAATATTGGACAGTACCCTCTCTTACTCCAGCCATATCAATAACGTATCCCGGACTGCTTTTTTACACTTACAAAACATCTCCAGACTACACCCTACTCTAACTCAACACTCAATGGAAGTCCTAGTAAATGCCTTGGTCACATCACGAATTGATTACTGCAATGCAATTTTAGCAGGCATTCCTAACAAAGTCATTCATCGACTGCAACTCATCCAAAATGCTGCAGCAAGGATCATAACACGCTCCAAGTCCACAGAACATATCACTCCTCTGCTGATTCAACTACACTGGCTCCCTGTATCACAAAGGATAAACTTTAAAATATTGTTACTAACATTCAAAGCCCTCCACAATCTGTCTTCTACCTATCTCACTGACCTCATTCAGACCTACACTCCATCTCGTTCCCTGAGGTCTTCCACAGCAAGTCTTTTGACACTACCAACCATCAACCTCAGTACAATGGGTCAAGTCAAGTCAAGTTTATTTATAAAGCACATTTAAAAACAACCAGAGTTGACCAAAGTGCTGGACAAGTTATACAGAAGAAGACATAAAAAATAAAACCAGATAAATTAAAACAGGCCAAACAATTAATGACATACAGCAATAAGATATAGGGCCTTCTCCTATGCTTCACCCAAACTCTGGAACTCTCTCCCCACACATCCGTACAATGGACTCTATTACACGTTACAACGTTAAAACTGCGCTCAAAACTCATCTTTTTAAACTAGCATACTCACTGCAATAATGTACAACACTGATTCCCATTTTGACCATTGATGTTTTAAATTTTATTTTTCCTGTCGTTTTTTTTTCTATTTTTATGGTGCTATGTACTTTTGCGTCTTGTTGTAAAGTGCCATGAAAGGCGCCATCAAATAAAATTTATTATTATTATTTCCTGTTCCTCCAGATTATGTGAAGCGCTCACAGCTCAGGTGCTCTATGATGATGACTCTTATCAAATCAGTTCGTCATGCGCTGCTCAGGAACAGGCTTAAATAAAGATGCATCAACCAAAGGAGAAACATGTCTGTAAGATGATCTGATGGAAGAATGATCAAGCAGAGACAGTGTTATGATTTGATATTAGAAATACAATTACTTGCTACAGTCAGAGACAGAGAGAGGGGGAGGGTGGCACAAAGACAAAGTGTGTGTGAGACTGAGCAGATATTAATAAATGGCATCTGTTATTTTTTGCTGTACAGACAGTTGCACCTGGTGCCTTTTCATTGAGCTGGGGGACATTAGCAATTTGTCTTCTGCAAATATCCACTCAAACTCAGTCTACTTAATATTCATCCCTAGATTTGTGGCTCGATATCAAAATCCAGCAGCACTTACTGCAGGAAGTATATTACAAGTTCCCAACGGGGATTTATAGTGTCTCAACAGTTGTGCAAAATAACCCTTTTATATTTATTTAAATCACACAAAATAATGCATACAGCACACACAATGTACTGTTTGTCCACACTTGGAATGCCCAATTATTTTATTAGTATGAGTTTAGCGGTGGCATAACTGGTGGTGCTTTTGTTTACACCTGCATATCCACTCATGTAGTCAGTATGCTTTTTCAGATCAGTCCCTCACAGAGGGAAAAACAGTGTGCAGCAACCATGCTGTTATTTCAGTCCAGAGTAGAGCCCAGGGGATCAGCTGCATCCCATTTAATGATAAGCTCTGATATAAAACAGTGTTCTGAAAAATAGTGTATAAAATAGTGTTCTGCCCGTGTCTCCTCTCACTGACAGAGAGAGGATGGACCCTTCAAGTCTATTCTAAACCATACAACTAAAGTATGTATGCACAGAGTCACACATTGCATGCACTATATTGCCTACATGTACTGTGTTATCTACTGTATACCATTAGCTTAGAGTAAAAATGTGCACATCTGTGTAATGAAAATGTACAGAGTGTGACGCTGCGTTGATTAATGTTACTTTAAATACATGCAGTTGATATTGCTAGCTAAGACTGTACTGTAGCTCCGGAGCACAGTGGTGCCCCAGTTCTGATTCACTCCCAAGCACACTAAGTACCCTGCAGTGTAGCATAACCCCAAAATAGCCGGACTAAGAAGCACACAACTCTCCACAACGGCCAGTATCTGGTCCCTGCAGCTCCTTGCTCGTACAGCTCAAAAGGCCACGTGAGTAGCTTCAGACTTGGTGCATGTAAATCATTGCCCAGAGTGGCTGAAGGGAGGCCAGACAAACTGGTCTCATGATGCCTCTCTTGCACAGCTGCAGAAAAAGCTTGCATTCTCTACTGTCTTTTTCACCTGTTCAAGAGTCCATCTAGAAGCCCTCCCCCTGTTCTGAGGCAATAAAGGTAGATAGAAAGATATCAATAAAGCACTATCAGGAGTCAAATTTTGTCTGTATCTAAATCTAGATCTAGTTGCACAAAAGAAACATACATGGTGAGGACCCCAATGACCCGTGTGCAATCCCATGTTGCACCGCTTCTTGTGAAGTCGGGCATTACATCAAACTCAATCGTGTTCATGCCTGGGAGACTGTTAAGGGTCTAAGCGGAATGCCTCGCCAGGAGGAATGTGAGAGGTATGTAGATGATGCAGCATGAGCTTAGCAGCGACAAAGACCATTGTACATGGGAAAAATAGCCACTCCACATTGAGAGAAAACAAGAACAAATAAACAACTTCAACACGGTGGGGGAAAAAAAAACAAGAGTGCAATGGTAATGTTGATGTAAGAGCAAAGCTGCGGAGGGGAGAGTGTGCACAAGGCAGACAATAACGTCAGTCAAACCATTACAGTGTGGACTTACCTGTCTGGCAAGCACAAGCAGAGTGATGAAGAAGATAAAGAGGGAGATAGAGCCCATAGTCTTCAGGTCTTTGAGGACGCCAGGCCTTGAATGACAGAGAAAAAAAGGAAGAATGCGTTAGTGTGTGAAGAAAGACAGAGAAGACAAAAAAAAGATAAAGACAGTGATAAAGAGTGAAATGTACCCCCCCCCCCCCCAAAAAAAAGATAAAAGCCAAGAAGGGGATGCGAGTAAGAACATTTAATTAAAAATTCAGATTGCAATCAGCAGCCTATGACATGTCACACGAGTGGTTAGCAGACCATTTTATTCCCAGCTGTCACTCGGTTAAGACTGTCACTTCTGCTTTTGCTGTGACAAGAGCTTGTTTACTATTTGCATTCCGGTGGCTGAGCTTCCCTGCCGGGGTGCGTTCACAAGAAACATTTTCCAAGATGCAACAAACACTTAGACAGTGTTCACGATCTGCAAAGATTAAGCACTATAAATACACGGCAAGCTCTTGTGTTTCCACCATCATAACCCAAAAATTAGGACACCTGTCCAGGGCAGGATTAGGAACCCACCAAGCTACAGCTATTGTTTATTTATGTATTGTACTGTGCATGCATACATACAAATCTTGCTGCTGTACATGTTCATACACCTTAAAAGCACCATACTGTCTAAGCAATGTTAAAAATAGATTAAAAATGCACCTATAAGATAATTTAAAACTGCATGGAAACTGATTTTTCTTCATAGCACTCAAGTCTGGCAGTGAATGTGAAAAGATTCAAACAGGACTGTTGCATCCTAATTTCTGCAAGCACATTTAGCATATTAATGGACATTTACTCTTATCTAGGGCAGAGCTCAGCAGACAACAGAGCAAACAGCCTGTGAGTTCTGCACTCGCCTGGTTCATTATCGAATCAATTTTCTATACACAATCAATGGCAATGACTGAGGACAGACTGTTTCACATGAAGACAAATCGGAGATGGAACACACACAAACGGGAAGCACGATTTCATTTGTTTCTGATGAAAACTAGTAATAGTTAATAGACCCTGTGGGTCGCTGTGGGTTCCAAAAAGTTTTGTTCTGAATATTACATCCAAAAGACTTGTATTTGCAAGTAGGGCTTCCAGCAATGAATCAGAAAATGTAATTTTCGAGGTAAAACCACAATGGGTTCTGTTATAATGTACAAAGACGTATTACATTATTGGCTGTCTATGTAGCTCCAGGATTTGTCTGTACATATTGTCATCACTACAGTCTCTCTCGGATGCTCTGTTTAGGGAGACTTAATATTTTTTAGACTAGAATGTTCCCTGTTTAACCAATGTCAGAGGAGAATTATTAAAATGCTGTTTCTGTCTATCCAGTACAGAGACAAGTTAGGCTAGAGTTGTTAAAAAACGACAGCAGCCTCATTCTGTGAAAAGTGAAAACATGTGTATTCCAAAAAACTATAAATCTATCTCACATACAATGATGTACGTGTTATCTATTTTTCACATGTGTAGAAACAGAAACCAGATATTGTAGCTTTAAGAGCTGTGGGGTTGTTAATTGAACTATGGGCACAGTAAAAGCGTGCAGCATCTTTGTAATTCACATCCTGACAGCAAGGACGCCAGGTTTGCACACTGATGATGTAACTTTACTGTCAGGAAAACCATTTGATTCATTTACTGTATAAAACAGTGAAATTTCTTTCCACTAAATGCCTTCTAAAAAGGCATGGACTTCAGGTGTGGACACATGACTGAAAACAGCTAATACTCGTAGCATGTTGTACTATTCCTAGATATCTGAGAGTTCAGATATATAATAAATATCTGTCTTTTGGTTTCTGATTTTTTTTTTTCTCAAAGGAGAATACAGGATTGTGATTTACAGAGCACATTTGCAGTTGCAGAAAGAAATGTAATTAAATTTCAGATGGACTGTCAATTTAAAATAATAGATAGTATATTTCAAATAAAATCCTCTATACCCTCAATAATTACTAAAGATATAATAACGCTTATTTCAGTTACACAAACCTGATCATCATTCAGTACAGGCTGTGACATGCCACTGACATTTCATTGACCTTATAGAAAATAAGTGCCCTCTCTTTACACTAAAGCTGTAGGGAAAACACTGACTCGATGCAACATGACTGAGAAAGTGCATTTATGCAATTATGAAAGGTTTGTTTTTTGGTTTAATCGGTCTAATCAGTTGTTAATACACATTGTCACGATTTGCTTCTATTGCAAGCAACACCTTTAAATGACCTCCCTATATGTAAAGGTAGAATAATAATAATAATAATCCTTATTTGTAGAGCACTTTTCAAAAACAAGTTACAAAGTGCTTTAACAAGTGTAAAGAATAATACAAAAAAAAAAAAAAGTGAGGGGTCTGGAAAATTATGCCATGAGGAAACCTGTTAAGAGGACCAGACAAGGTCAATTGATTTCTGTGTACCAAAAATCACCCGAACCAATAGTTTCTAGAAAATCATTTAATGGTTTACATTTAGTGTATATTCATCTTTATTTATCTATTTAATAGTAACTTTAAACTAGTCTGATCTTTGCTGTCACCAGGTGGTTAAATAGAGAGGATAAAGGCTTTCTTTTATTAGCTGGCATGATTTCCTTAAATATTCATTTAATATGTATCTGACACATTAAAATATAACCGCTGTAGACAAATACATTTAGCACGTCTTTTTTTCATGAGCTACGTGATCCAAATACTGGAGTTCCTGGTTCAAAACTATTAAATGGATAAGCTGTATTTGCTGTAACTAAACTATATACTCAGTCCGGTGAAATTAATTGATGCTGGGATTGGACACCCAATAACGATCCTTAGGATCAGCTCGGAACATTCCTAGCTGTATTTGTAAATCAGGACTGTAGAAGTTATCAGCTGTTTTTCATTCCTCATCAGGTCTAAGAATGCAAATTCCATTTCAGGCAAAAGTACACTTGCAGCCTGTATTCTTCACAACAACTGCTGCATTCACCTTACAGTCAACTGCACCAAGCTATCAATGGATAGCTGATGTAAACTACATGTTTTATCTAGTTTCCAACCCCCAGCTGGAGGCGCTTTGAATAGAAAGTGGTTTAAAGAAAATTGGGTTGGGGAGAAGATAGACATTGAGGGAAGCCAGTTTAAGTGGTTACGGCACCTGCAAAGGATGCCCCCTGGGTGTGTTCATTTAGAGCTATCCTTGACTCAACTGACTGGAGGAAGACCTTGAGGTAGACCTTCGTTCTCTTCTTTTACCATCCCATTTTCTATCCCTTCATATCACTACTTACCTCAGAATCCCACAGGTTTCATATCCGATGTACACTGTCTGACCATAACTTCCTTTTCTCTGCCACCCCGACTCTCTATATTCCTCTTTCACGCTCTCTTGAATAGTATCTGTTGGTCACTGTGCACTTACCTGTCCAGGCTTTCAGTCTTGTACAGAAATCTACTATATTCGTCCAGAAGAGAGGCATGTGTTTGTAGAATAATGATGTTGTAAACCACCACAGCTGTCAACATGATGATCATCTTCAGCTCGTAGTTTATCCTCAGGAATACCGAGCAAGAGATGAGGCCCAGTATGCAACTGTAAATTAAATACTACACAGACAGAAAAAGATGATTAATTTAAAAGTTATCAAAGACAATAATGAATGTATAGACAATCGTGATAGTGTTCATCTTCACTTACAGGAAGGTAGAAATTGTTTTTGTCTGTGAAGGTGATTAGTTGTCCATTAGGGTAAAACAGTGTTTCGTTGGATGAATTGTAAACAGGAACGGGAGGCAACAAATTGTCTTCCAAAAAGAACTAGAAAAAAACAGAAATGAAGGGTTTGTCTCATCTTTGGGCAGTGCCAAAAAAAATCTTTCCACAGAAAACAAACCAGTCAATTCATGTAAATTACATTCACACCTTCCCTGTCTGCTTGCCTTGCACGTCAGCATGTGAAAAGACAAACTAGTCTACATTGTAGTACAATCCTTACTGGAGGAAACCAGAGTCTTGTAAGATAAGAGGCCAATAGTGACAACCATTCAATAATGTCCTTTAAAGTGAAACCTGCAGGATAAGATGAGGCTTGGCTGCCCCACTGAGCAAAGCCAAGTTAATGTGGTTCATCCGCCTAGAGCGACTGACCCACGTCAGGCGCAAAACAAGATTATAATCTCTGGAATCGATTTGTGTGAAGGTCTAAACCAGGGTCCTGACACTGGGCTTTATCACGCAAGTTCCCCACAAGCCTTGGGCTACTATTTCACCTTTCACCGAGCACTTTGATTTGACTCACTTTTTCTCTCTACAAAACTAAACAATGCAAATCATTTTTCTGTAGCTGATTGTGTGCAGAAATAGACAGTTTGTTTGAGGCTTAATAAACAACATAAATTAAAAGCATAGAGATAAATTCTTTATTTAAAATGATCGTGCATCCACCGCCCCTAACCATGATGGCTAAGACATATTCACCGCTGTGGCACCTCATCCTTTCTTACTGTTGCAAGAAATAAGATGAAGATTTCAGTTCTTCGTATATTAAGTTAGCTCATTAAGACACCGGTATTAATGTATTAAGTGTTTATTTATTTATATGATACAAAATATCTTAACACCCCTGGTTCCAATTCATCACTATTGGCCAATTTATTTAGGTTATTTGTGTGACAGCATGTTGCATTCCATTACCTTCTAATTACAATGCAATTTAAAATAAGGGGTGTCATCTGAGAGGGTCGTGGTACTTGTTGTTGCCCCTCCCTCACTGCAGTACCTGCACATAAAAGCTTACCATGTTGAAGATTGCCATTATGAGTATTAGAGCTGTGGTTGTCATGGTGAGAGTGATGCGGGGCCATGGCTTGTTGGCAATAATGACTGATGACCTCAGCAGCCACATCCAAGAAGTGGAGGCACTTTTACTGCAGTGCTGCAGGGACAGGTACACACAACAGCACACAAATACAAGAATGTATGAGTCGAAATAAACAAGAACTTTGGGAGCTGAGATATTAAAGGTCACAGAAACATTTAAACACACATGGAAGAAGCACCGAGGAACAGAAACGCATGTGAACCACAGTAATTAAAATAAGTAAATAAAGCACATATGCATATGAACAGACACATGCACATTAATAAATTAATTTATTTCAAGTTATTGTCCTTACTCAACATAAATAATAAACTATGCATAAAAATTTCACAGCTATTACTGATTAACCCCTAATTGCCTCAGCAGTGCCAATCAAGTACAAGTGGTCCTAACAACTTCAGCTTGCAATATGGTTCAAACTACATGCAATAACAGCACTAGATAAAGATCACTACAAGTGATCCCATCATGTAAAATGATGTAAGCTAATTTATAGCCTTCATTAAACCATTCACACTGCAATGATAATTGTCTAATATTCATTAAAACCAAAGCAAAGAACGGTTGTTAATTAGCTTCCACCTCCTTCTTCACTAATCAAATTACAACTGAGGGCAAAATGTTTAAATTGTTAAGACCAGGGCACACTGTGCAATCACACCCTTCATTTCAACCCAGCAATATCACCTGACACACTATAGCATTATGATTTTAATATGTTTATTTACTACATTTTCATCGATACAAAAATATCTTCCCAGGCTTTAGCAAATGCTGGTTGTGCCTGTTACAGTCAATTACGTTTCCTTTTTGCGGTGCTGCCTTCAGCTGAATGTGTTTCATTGACAGTGAAAGCCAAGTCATTTGCTTGATCATCTCAGAGCAATATCTGAGCATCATTGGCGCTAAGTGGATGTGGTGTTTGAATAGCTCAGGGATGTACATTACAATACAATAAAGTACGGATGGCGGACTGTATTATGCACCAGTGGGATTACCAGAAATGTGGAGCTAGTGGGACAAATTGAAAATGAGGCATTTACATGCATTTTCACCTCTAGACCCTTCGAATAATAATATGTATGGCTTGAATTTAACATGGATATTTAAAAGGACAAAGTAAGATCTGCCAGGGTTGATCTAAGTCGAAGATTTCAAGTTACACAGTTATAGAACCAACAGAATATGCAAGTCAGTTCATCAAATAACTATGTTTGACCTTTCTAAGATACCCACCATCATTCCCTCCGAAGCAGTTTCTGCAAGAAATGCTATGTAGGTCAATAACTTATTTTGTTACTAAAAACTAAGTACATGCACAGTGAAGCACGCTGATGTTGCTTTGCTGCAACAGTGAAAATTCAACAGACTGGCTGGTTGGCCGATTTTCAAATGCTATCCAAAGTTATATTATGGGAGGAAAATATGTATGAATAAATATTTCTTGAATATACAATCTTACCATCTCTAGCCTTCAATGATCAAATCCAACAGGGATCACATGATTTATTTTGAAATTACATAGTCCTTATTTATGATCTTAACGGAAAATTCCATTAAAACATTTTAGTCACACTTTTTCATGGATAGCTAGCTTGGCTTTAAATGTTATATTGGAGATTAAGCAATAATTTCATTGTTAATCTCCTCTTGTGACATCAGACTGGGAAGAAAAAACTAGATGTGCTCCTGAAACTGAAAGACACTCTTCTGCAACACTGTTCCAAGTAAAATCTTAAAATCTTAAATCTGCAGCCCTAGAATAAGCTGTGATGGGTGTCTGAAAAAACAAGACAATTACACAAACTGAAGTTAAGACCAGGCAATGCCAGATAAAGTTGACAAAAGGCAACAAGAGGCTTCTTGACTTCAGCTATGGAGTTTTGTGGTCTGCGTTTTTAGCCTTGGGGAACATCAACAGGTAGCACAGTTCAGAGCCAAGCAGGAGATTCTCACCTGCAAAGAACTAAATATCAGACACTGGGGCCTGCGGCTTATGGAATACTGTAGCACCGTTAATTTTTTAATAGTCATTTCTTTTTTCTTTTTCCCCTCATTCTCTTTCCTTTTTTCTGGCTATTCATTTCTTTTTACTAGACAGGGAGTGTCACATAAGAGAGCTAAAGTAGCATTTAAAGTCCTAGACCAGGGATATTCAACTATATTGTTCAGGGGATCACATTTTCAGAAAGCTAGGGCCTGGGGACCGGACATTTCCCTGAGCTATTATTCTCATTATGTAAAGCACAACCACTTTTTCAAACTTTTATTTTGCTACTTTGCAAAAGTAGTGTAATCTTAAACTAAAAAAGAAAATAAACAGGCCTTCTTTAAGTAAATAGGAAAGCGCTTATTTTCAATTTCTTTGCAACACAATCTGTGATATAGCCCCAAATGCAAACACATCTTACCTAGATAGATCACAGTGTTTCCTATAAACATGTATAAACTTCTTTTTTTGTTTTCTGTCTACCACTTCCTCTTCAATTGAAGTTAGGGTAGGCAATTTATTTCAGAAGCATTTTGTTTTATTTGTTGGAATTCTCTTTACATCCCAACACCAATCAATAAATCAAATGCTCTGAAACAAAAATGAAACAAATCCCGTATCTGTGGCTGTCGCAGGACTGTAATAAGCTTGGCCAATCATTTAATTCGGTCTGGGGGTTGGGATTTTTTCAGTTTGATACTTTCAAAATCTAGATGACTCTAGGTCGTTCACCAACCTTGCCTACCCCAGCTTTAACTATTTAAGTATTTACAATTACTTTAAACTACTATGGTGCTGGTGATGTCCTGCCCACAGTACTAGCTGATGGGTATCAACAGTGACTATTGGTCGGAAGTAGCCAATAGAACGAGCGAGCCACCATGCTGCAGCTGTCAATCTCACAGTCGACGCTTTGCAGCGAAACAAGGATCCTGCCATTTTGGCGATATGGGGGTGCTCAATGACTGATTTTACATAGAACTACCAGTTTTCTCACAATAACTTAATATACTGCCTATTACAATATTCATTTCAACATTTAATGCTGTAAATAAAAATGTAAAAAAGAATAATACTTTCGATAAATGTTTTTAAAGTGCGTAAATAAATCCAAAATTGTAACCCTAACTCTGGGTCGTCAGTGCGCATGTGTAGGTATAGCGTGTATGTGTGAAGTGGCAGAAGAGGAACACTTGCTGAAGAGACAGAGCCCCAGCTTCACTGGTATGATGGAGCTCGCAAAGCCGGCTAGCCGCCCGCTCACAGAGCCCTCTGGTCCCACAGTCACACAGACTGCAGCAACATCGGCAGAGGAAAACACAGCTGTAAGGTTTTCATACCGCTTATCTGTCTTCACATTCTGAGTAACGTTTTAACTTAAATCAAGAGACAGCTGTGTGTGGTTTGCTGGTGTGTGTGTCGCATTGAACATTACGTCGTTGCTATGATGACCAGCTACATTGAGGGGTACTATCTCTGGGTACTATCTGCAATGGGAAACGGAGGCCGGCCAAACTGAGTTGAGTCGACTTGAGTCTAGGCGAGTTAAGCTGGTACAGGTAATGGAAAAATGGCATAAAAGTTTTCCTGAATTTTATTTAATTGTAAATAGAACTGATCTGCGGGCTGGTCTGACTTGATTGGCAGGTTTGCCAGCTGAATAGGCCTGCCCAAGACTATCTTCCAGTGGCTAGATATAACTATCACTATATCTACAGTCATACCTGCCCACTCTTTCAAAAGGGCATGCCAGGGCATTGTTAGCAATTACATCGCAAGACCCATTAAATGTATTATTGACCGTCTAAAAATGAACTCTAAATGATTTATAATGCAAACATAGTGTAGGGTATGCTGTAAACCTCAGAGTTACGAGATCCAGTACAGACTGCAGCACAGCACAGTGTGTTTGCTATGTGGGGAAACAAATGTCTCCATGACAAAGATGAAGATAAATATATGTATTCAGTAATTGATCAGATGTATGTTGACCAGAAATGAAAGGACCAGAAATGAAAGGATAATTGTCTCCTGAAGCATGTACCAAAGCAGTGGTGGGCACAGGCTCCCTAAGGGGAAAGGGGGAAATGAAGAATGAGCACCTGTTTCATGCACAGGATTCATTTTTGCCCTAAGGTTACACCAGAGTGGCACTTGTATTAACCTGAGGGGCACTTAGGGTAACAACAAGGCACTTAAGCCATTAAGCTGATCAGAGGGGCCACTCATGTGCTTTGGTTAGACAAACATTAAGCACACAAATGGACCATTAGAGAGTGGTCACCCACTGATTAAATACAAGGTTTAATCTAAAAATTAAAATAATAATAAAAATTTGTAGTAAATGTATTTACTCACCAGAAAGTGTCCGATGAAACATATGAAGAGGATCAAGGAAAGGATAAGAAAAGCCATTCCAAAGGATATTCCCAGGACAGTTGTCCTAAAAAATGGAATATGTCATCAAGTTCACCAAGTTTAGCTCATTCAAAGATTGTCATTGTGCAAAAAGCAACAGTTGGCTTAGTAATGTATATTGCATAAGAATAAATACACATGCTTTTTTTTTTTTTTTACCAACATAGAGTTAAACACTGTGTTAACAGTGATGTTACTCCTATAATAGTTTGAGAATAATCACACTTACTTTGGAAGGACGAGAATCTGCACGATAAAAATGCAGAAAAAGATCAAACAGGCGCAGGTGACATAGTATTTGAAGGCCGGCAAGGTTGTTGCTCTGTACTAAAAGAATAAAAAAGAACAAAGTCAGGTTTCAAAAAAAGGCTTCTATTATATTGAAGCTACTTCAAAGGCTCCACAACTGTGCATTCAGATCCCGCATGTCTGTAAGATTTCAGGGTAAGCCACTTGTAAGCAAAGTAAAATTATGACAAAATGTGTTCTGTAATTAGGGCCCAAACAGCGAACGCTGTGATTGTAATTGTTTGAAATATCCTTATTCTTCTTCCCCATTGGACGCATTTCTGGGGCGCTTAACAGGCATGAAAAGTTGTAGAATTTTGCACACTCGTCCGAACTAGTGAAAATAGCGATCTGATATGGGTCTGGTGCATGGTCGCACAAAAATGGCTCCATAGCACCCCCTAACAATTTTCAAAACCAAAGCCTCCTCCTTTCTCTTTGGCCTACATTCACCAAACTTGGTAGGTATATGTATCGTGTCCAGACTTAAAAATAAGCCTCTTGGACGCTTACCTTAAACCCAACAGGAAATCAGCCACATTGGATTGAATGTGCAAGGATTTTCCATTTACACCCTCCATATTTTAACGAACTCCTCCTAGAGATATGATCAGATCGACTTCAAATGCGGGCTGTGCCATCCCAACACCCTTGTGATGTTAAAGACGAAAAAGCTTTTTTTGATTGATCAAACGGCGTGTCAATAGCATGGCGTGGCGTTCAATTTTGATGATTCGCCATGAAAAAGGAAAAACTGTGTAAATGGGCAGAACATGCTCAGATCTGTGGTGTTCGGGCCCGCTGCTTGCAGCTTTAATTCTCTTTGAAACTGCTCTTCCAATATCTCCACTGAGGGGTGAATGATGCCAATTTACTTGTACTGCCTCTTACCTCCTTCTCCAAGGATTTGTTGTGGAAGAATAACGATATTCTTTGGATGTCCTCGGACTTGAGCCACTGTCTGGAAGCATAAAGTTGTAGTTATAGACCAGATAAAAAGGAGAATACAGGCAATGTTCAATGTAAATTAGATGTGTTCATACAAAAAATTGAAGATTTAAGTTTATGTATTTGTTCAGTAAGGTTATGAAGAGGAAGGCATTGAGTACAATTTCCAATACATTAAGCAGACATGCCATAATTTGCTTTAATGTTGGCATGTTTCATCAGTTGCAGCTTTAGAAGACAGTACATCTTATCAATACTATGACAATTTCCAAAACATTCTGCGTATACTTTACTTTTCGCCTTACTTTTGTGAATTTATCCCGTCAAAGGTCCTGATCATCCTCTCGGTAAGTTCCTCCTCAAAACGTTTCTTCTGAGACTTTGTTCTTTAATGGATAACAAGAAGAGAAAAAAGAGAAAATATTTTAAGTTCACATAATATTTAGTCAAACACATCAAAGCCTCGAGTAAAAGTCTAGTCCTATTAACCATCTTGTTGTCTGTCTTTGTACTGTAATTCTGCCAAAGAAAACTGTGGTGGAGCTGTAAAATGAGCAGCTTGCCTTTCTGATCTCCTCTGGAAGTGATACTGCCCCATAGGCACATCCTAGACACAGAGCAAAAAGAGACAGATGGGTTACAAGCTACAGCTGATCTTCCCTATCACCTAAATCCTAACATATGTGTAGTAAAAATTTACACACAGCAGTGTTGATCTTCCCATTCTCATTAGTCATGCTGTCTCTGTGGTGCAGGTTGGCAAAGGGCTTGGCTGCTCCCCAGGACTCCAGGTAGCGGGTCATTCTGACTGAGGCTCTCATTTTTGCTCCGTCCATAGTGTGTCTGGAACGGTAATGATGCTGTGGGCTCCGACGCTCCACCTGGACAAAGATGGAAATAAAGTTACTTTATTGCATTTAATTCAATGTCCAATATTAATTTTACTGTTTGTGACATGTGTTCTACAGTACCTTTGGGTTGATGACCAGATAAGTGATGACTCCATGTTCCTTAAGGTAGGGATCCCTTTCTTGTCCATCCCCATCTTCCACCTTATAAGAACCATTTAGGTGCTCCAGTGTCACTGAGGTGATGTGGACTCGCCTGGCAATGAACCAACCAGACACAACAGATGCAGAAAGGTATCACAAAGAAATTGCACCACAATATAATGCAGTGTTACCTTATGCAAATGGAAAACATGTGCTTCTGTTTTACCTCCTGTTCACTCACCCTGGTACACCTCCTGCCTCCATATGATTGGCCAGCGTGACATCGTGTGACCAAACATCATACTGCCATTTCTGGAGTCCAATCACACCACACAGGACATTTCCAGAATGCACGCCAACACGCATGTTGATGTCAACCCCTGTGGCATCTCGCACTTTCCTGTCATCCACCAAAAACAACTCTTGCTAATGTGGGGTAACAGAAATGTGTCACCCATGCCAAATATCTTGTTAGAAAAGAGAGTTAACTGCCTCACTCTGGGACCTTTATGGTACATGAAGAGAGTTGAAACGATAAAAAGAGAGATGGAAACCTACCACAGTCATTTTCATGTTTTCAGTGTAAACCACCTAGAGGTGAGACTGGGATCCTCACACTTACGTCTGATGCAGCTAAATTGGCAATCAAGAAAAAGTCTCAACATGTGAGCTAATGGTTGGCAAGTACAGTACTTCTCATAATTGTGGGTGCTTTAATACATGTAGCTCAAAAAGCACTGTGTTAAAGGGCATATCAAACAATCTTTGAAATGCAGGTAGTCAAAAGTAGTACCTAAAATATGCAGAAGTGTAATGACACTCTTAAGAGTCTTCAGGGCATAGCTGAGTTAACACACATAAGAATCAGCATGAAGCAAATCTTTTGTACTACATGAGGCATTTCATTTGTGCATTTCGTTTTCATGTGGTTGTAGTGTGATGACTGAGCCACTGCTGTGCATGTTTCTTCATCATTTGTTTACATCTATTTAATTTCATGTCACCTATTTTAAGATTTGTTTTTGACATCACCGATGTCCAAGGTCTACCCAACATTAATACAGCAGAGTAAGAAATATTGTACAGTAACAGAGCAGCAAACGTTTCATAAAAAGGGGTTGTTCTTTAGCAGCGAGGTTATGTAACTGGCACTTACTTGATGGCCTCACACATGTCCAGACCCATTTTCACACAGTTCTTAGCATGGTTCGACAGAGACTCCGGCAGACCAGACACACAGTAGTAACAGTCCCCGAGGATTTTGATCCGCATACATTCATTTTCCTGTATATAAAAAAGGTGGATCACAGGCTCAGACACACGGGAAAAAAGTCCAGTTGACAGTACAGGCAGCTTTTTATTTTAATCATATATTAACCTTTTCAGAGAAAACCCACCCTCAGATTATGCTATGCTTTATAGCTACATTGTGTTATGCTCTATTAATGTTAGTGGAAATATGTAAGTCTATATTTTCTTGCTATCACTTTCTTTAAGATTGCTCGGGAAAAAATAAGTTAGTACATATTGCATTGTATCTGCACTGGAAATATCTAAGTGTGAAGTCTAATCATCTATGTTTGACCAGGTATTTGCAGGAATAAGTCAAATTCATCATAAAGCAATAAAAAGTGACACCAAAAGCATTTAGTGACAACTCACTGTCAAGATGTGACAGTGAGTAAGATGTACTGTATAGGACATGAGTTTTATGGTTTAGCCTCCTATGAAGAAGCAAAATGTGCACTTTGTGGATGTGTTACTTGAAATGTTTACCTTCGCAATTTGATCAAATTTGCCAAACAACTCATTCAGCATGTGCACCAGCTCTCCAGGTGAGCAGTCACTGGCCAGCCGTGTGAATCCCACTATATCAGCATACAGTATACTACATATGGGGTGGGTGGAAGAAACATTATACTGTTATAAAATAATTTTATAGGTTTTTCAGGAAAAGCCATGAATATACTTTTGGGCTCCTCTATATGTAAATCTGCACTCTAAGACACGCATACAGTATGTGTCACATATATGCCATACAAGTACAGTACTATTTGGTCATATAAGTCGTAAATAAAAATAATACATGCCTGACATTAGTGTGTCTCTGGACATAGAGATTGTGAAAATTGTTTGTGTTCTCCATCTGGCCAAAGTTTGGGCCCTTCAGTCTCTGTATGATCTCAGCTTTCATCACCCGGGCAATGTGAGCTGGCAGCAGAGACAACAGGAGACGCTCCTGATGGCATTAGCACAAGGATGGTCAGGAGAATCAAGTGGAAATTACAGAAATAAGCAGATTACTACATTTAAAAAATAATCAACACCTATAAAGGAAAAAAAAAATCTAATGCTGCAAAAAGACACCCAACAGTTAGTTCATTTGTTTTTGCATCAGAGTATTTTCTCTCAAGGATGCATTGCTTCATCGCCCCAGATAATCCCTCTGTCTGTCAGTGGCATGACCCAAAATTAGCGTGATTAGAAGTAATGCAAAACAAGAACAAGAACGAAGCTTTGACTTTCGTAACAAAACAAGCTTTCAGATTAAAAGTTTGCATATTTATGGAATCAGCTTATAATATCCAGGGACCTTGACAAAGTTTTACATTTTCAGCAAATTGATATTAAATTGAATTCAGTCCTAATTTAATTTCTGAAGCATTAACATTTGATGACAGGAGGGCACACAGAGCTGTCACCATTATGAAAGTGGTGAAAGTGATAAGTGAAGGTTAATTGGGCATGACATTCTGTAAGTAATAATGAATGTAAAGAAATTGGTTTACAGTGCTCATTATTTAACTGCCAGCCACCAGAAAACAGACTCAACCATTATTCACCTCACAACTTTTCTTTCATTTAGTGGTAGCTTAACCCTCTCTGTTTTTCTCTGGGGCTACTGTAGGTATTGCAATAAGTCCTCCTGCCCAGTAATTAGCAAATAAAACCCTTCTTAAGGTGAGGAGACTTTCAAAATTCGAGAAAACACTTAATTAAGCCAATGTCACCTCCAACTTGACAAGTTTTCTGCACCATTGATCCTCTCCCTGCGTCACTGCTGAGGCTCAGGGGTTTCTACGTGACGGAGAGGTCTGGTTTCTTTGGTGGCTGCTAACAAACGCTGTCAGGGCTTTGGGTTTATGATGAATTCACATAGCCCACCTTGGACCACTCATACCAAAAATGTATGCGCTCTCTGTACTGCAGGGCACTTCTGATAAAAGCGTGTAGCAAACAGCATATTTTATGAGTGCCCGATAGAAATATGTCTCTGCGCAGTTACTGCCAGCTGTCACAGGCAGCAGTAGCACTCCAGGGCTACTGCGCAACTCTCCACCCAAGGCATTTTCAGTTTCACTCATTGAAGTTGTAACACAAGCTGTATTCACCATAGGGATAACCACCTTCACCCCAAGCCTGGGCTTTGATAACAGCTGGAATCACCATCATCTGACTGAATATCTACCCAAAAGCTGCAGCAGTTGTAGTATAAAGCTAGCTATATCCTATGCTTGTACAGCAGTAAAGTTTAATCTATTTCTTGCAAATGTCTGCACCAGATGGACCTGAGCACATCAGATAATCCATAGACTCATTTGCTGCAGGTAAATGTAGTTGCAGATATCCTTATATCTTGTTAATCGACCCAGCTGTCACAGAATGCTAAAGAGCTACACTTTTATTACAGAGAATTTAGCATGTGCATAAGGCTCCAGGGACTCAAAATAATCATCACACTTACTAAGGTCATTAACAATTAGCAAATTCTGTAAAACACAACTCCTGACACAAATCCTCAGTGGACCCTCCTTAAACCACAGTAATCAAGTGCTTACAGCTATATGCAGAGCAAGATGGATACCGAGACACGCAAATTTTAGGTAAAATTCTGCAAGTAAGTAAGGAAATGAAAGGCAAATGACTGCAGAGTGAATGTTTAACACCATTATGGCACAGTGCTGATACATAGATCTACATTAATAAAACAAAATCAAAAACAATCCCCAATCCCACAATCCTCAGTTACAGTTTTACTCAAGTGTAGCATTAACAGGTGGACGAAAAACGTATTCTACAGAAAACAGGAAAGGGCACTAACACCCCTCTTAATGATAAACATTGGTTATTTTGCTCCGGGTAAAATATCATCATGGCGTAATGTTGTTTTATTTTATTTACTTGCCTCGCACAGATATTGCTGTTGTGATCAATTATCATAATTTTAAGTCCCCATCATTTTCATCATTATCGCCATCAACACTACTACATTCTACACTCAGTGAACTACTGTCTGCCTGACTCGCACTGGCTATTAAGACTTATTGACCGCTTTACCTGTTGTCTTTTCTCAAACTCCAGTTTAATTGGGGACTTGATGCAGTTGCAGGTGTCCTGATAAGTCTGTTTAAGTGCCAACTCCATCAGATGCTTGTGGTACGCCCCCGCCATGTTGCCACACATGAAAATGATAACATTGGCCAAAATCTGTACAGAAAGAAAGGACAGACAAACATGGTATTAGATAAATATTAAGGTAAAAATAATCTTCAGGGATGGACTGACGACCTGTCCAGGGTGTACCCCGCCTTTCGCCCAAGGTCAGCTGGGATTGGCTCCAGCCCCCCGTTACCCTGTATGTAGGATAAGCGGTTGACGATGGATGGATGGATGGATAGATAATCTTCAGGTTGAATATATTATGGTATTATGTACTAGTATTGTGGCATTCATTTGAAGAGCAGACGGAGAGATGTAAAAGGGTACAAATTCTACTCAGTTACTATATGCTGGTTTGTTTTGTGAAATGAAATAGGTGGTATCAGAAAGTCCATTTAATCTCCATTGGCCACAGTCTAAAGACAACTGCATGCCTTAGAATTTGATCAAGGATCAAGTCATAAAATAGGTTCCAAAATGAAAACAGTAAAATGCTTTTGTCATTTTAAGTACTGAGGAAGACATGGGATTTTGTGACATGGAACCAAAAAAAAAAAGTCCAAAATTGGAAATATATGGGTTATAAATAGGGTACTAGGCCGTGGCAACAGAGATCCTGTAGTCATGTCGACATCCAGCCACATGTGGCATTTATAAAAAGCACTGCTTAATTAATTTTCAGTTGTTTAAATGAAACAGTTTCCATCCATGGATGACCCCAGAGATATATAAATACAGTCCAGTGGTAGGGAAGTAGTTGCACTTTATGCTGCTCCTGCTGAATTGTTTATTGCCTAGAATAGCATCATGTATTCCCCGCGTCAACCTTCCCTCTACCCAGCTGAAGAAAGGAACAAAAAAGAAAAGAAAAACAAATTAAATCTAAATAATAAGTAAACCCATTGCCTAATGATGTGTCTGCACCTCTCGTCTATATAAATAGACTTTCCCTTGCATTCAGGTTCATCGCACGCAAGGAGGCCTGTCTCTTTCTTAATTAGTGTTATTACGGCAAACGCCACATCTCACAACAGGCTCTATTTGACCATGGCATGGCTTAAGTGACAAAACTGCTGTTAATCATAATGACACTTGTATAAGTACCACTACTGCTATAGATCCTCTTATCTACAGTATATTTTAATTGACTGTATGTAATGCGTAGTCAACATTTCCCCACTCACTGTACTACACCTTTATTAATAAATCCAAACTCAGTTTAGTAAAGAAATATCTAGAGATATCTCCAGATTACTTAACATTGTCTGACTAAAAGGATTTTGAATCTTAGCAAAGATGTCTCCATTTATCGTTCATTCAATAGTTTTGTTTTTCAGTGTGTACAAAGCGTTCCAGCCTTGCTGTATATTCTTAGTCTAGATTTCATCGTGTATTCATTGTCAGGCTTTTGACTAACTCTTCATTCAACAGATGACAGGAGAATCAATTCTATCTCCATGGTACATACTGTATGCGATGCCTACAAACAAGTCATGTGTTCTATTTAGTGGCTCACCTTTATGGGACGGATTATTAGAAAAGGCATCCAAGGACAATCATAAAGACAACAGCAATTGAATTGCATGTGTGGAATTCATCTGTCATTATAACATCAGAGAATACAAAGCTGTTGTGTTAAAAATGACACATAAGAATAACGTATAATAATAAGTGCAAATTGTGATCCATCAGAAGTGCAGTCTATTCTGATTATTTTTGTTTCAAAACAGTACATTATTTTTCATTCACATTTCATACATCCCTCATGGCAGCACTTATTATAATAGGATGTAACCCAGTGATGACAGGTGAACATATAAAGACCCAGGAGACCTTGAGCTCAATATTTTACAATTTACAGCAAACGGACAATTTAATGGTTCTCTCCCATTGCATTTTTTTTTTTAAAGAGTATTTTCTCCCTCTCCTTCCCCATCTTTTATTCCCATTCTCCCTCGTTTGCCTGCCTGTCTCATTCTCACCAATTTCACTTTCACTTGCAGTCTCTGTCTTTCTTTCCAGCATAGTGGTGACCTTATTGTCACACTGGCCATTGCCAATTTGCTCTCTCTTTTCTGATGTAAATGTGCCCGACAGATTTACATTACAGCACCAGAAGAGCTGTAACAGGAGCCCTTAGCCTTTCGCACAAAGAACAAACATCTCATTTCAGTAACAAAACTCGAGCAAAAAAAAAACAAAAGTACAAAACTGTTCATGCACTTTTCAGCTCACAAAAGCTTTTTGGAAAAGTTTAGTTTATATACTCTATCAGTCGACTGATAGTAGACAACCAGGGTAGTACAGCAGTACATTGTGTTCAAAGATTTTTATCAAATGTTTTAAAACAGAAAATCTACATCAGCGGCTCTTTCTTTTTACACTGTGAAATTATTTAGTCTATCAATTCTAGAGCTACAAGCCAGAAAAAAGCAGTTACAAACACACACACACACACACACACACACACACACACACACACAAACACAGTATGTTACTGTTGTCTTCTGCTGGCTGGTTGGCAAGGGTCAATTAAAAACACCTATTTTTGTCATACTGCACATTGCTGCAGCACCACTTTTCACCTGGTGTGTTGAACGTTACGTTTTAGCTACCAATTGATGGCGTGCCATATTAGCCGCTAGGTGAGCATTATGAAGCGTGTTACAAAGTGACGCAGATAGGTTATGGAAGTCAAAGCTTGGACTACAATAAAGCGGTTTTCAGGCAGTTTGGGAGCAGTGTTTTCCTCCTTAAATCTTTATTGCAAAAAGAGAAATAAAGTGTAAATGGGACATAAAGAAGTATAAAGAATTTTGATTTGTCTAAAATCACATATTGCATATAAATATTTTTCAAACATGTAATTTGTAATATGGTTATAACAGTTAGCTTTCTGTCCATGTACAGTGAACTGGAGGTCTGTGTGTTTATATTCTCTCCATCAATCGTCAACCGCTTATCCTGCGTACAGTGTCGCGGGGTGTTTATATGCTCTGATAATGCTAATTTACCACATCTTTGTAGTAGCATCCATGTTGATTCCGCATTCCGACTTAAGAGCACATGGACACACACTAAAGTCAGAAGAACGACTTCACAACTCAGTAATTAGGACCATCCCAGGAGCAAGAGCCGCTGATTGCAATTTGCAACCTTCACCCCTAGATTCCACTAAAACTTACACACTGAACCTTTATGAGTACAGATGTATTCCGTATCCTTCCTGAGAAAACAAGATCTGATTCGTATGTGCTGACACACATGCTATTCTAAATATATATCAGTTGAATGTAGTTAAAATAAATGCACCAACAATGTACTCGTCTCTCCTTTATATTTGACAAAAGCAAACAGGGACATGTGGATAAGTGTGGTCTGCTAGCTGGGTTTATCTTCACATTTATTCACTGTATTTAGAATAGACATCCCTTGCTGTCCACTGAATGTATTATCTCCTCACTGCACATTTCCAAACACTGAAAGAAGACACACAACCTGAGTTTTTTTCTTTTTCATATTAAAGTCATTACATTACAAGCCTGGTTTAGTTCATGAAAGTTCTATAGAAAGTCTAAACTCTGTGGTACAGAATAGTGTTCAGAGAATAGGGTTCAGACAAATATACAGAATGACTGAAAGCAGGCACAAGAAGATTCACTAGAGCCTTTGTAAGCTGCATTATAAAAAGGTTTTCCACACCCCATATATTTTATGCAGTATTTTATAATCTCACTTTAAACAACTAAAGCATCATCATATTTAATTGAAAATCCATTCAGCTACACATTAATTTTCTCTTTGTGAGTCTGTAAATTAAAAATTAGTTGCAGGTAGACTGGTGAACTTAGTCACTGGTTTTAAGCAAGTTTACAATGATTGCTTCGCTGCTTCCTGTGGACAGATAAGATTCATATACTTGACAAACATGACTTGGAGTTTATCTCTTTTTCTGGCAGCAAAAACTGGAGTCTGATCTTTTTCCAACATCCTGCAAAAAAGCATAAACACAACAAATCTATTTTAATATGTTTTGACAAACCACTCATCCAGTGGATCATGAAATCACACAAAAAAAACAAAGCTAAAGTTGTAAACAGTTGCCTTTATGTGTAACGTGAAGTACTCAGATTACATTCAGTTAGACCTGGGGCTACTCTATTAGCTGACAACTGTTGGACAAGACACTGACAGCAATCCAGACCATCTAAAAAGGTCAGCTGTGTGAATCGGCTGGCTGTGCAAATCATTCGTACCTCACCGGTACTCAATTATAGATAACAGCGGGGTTAGGTGAGGAGGGCCTCTGAAGGGCTTTGAGCTGGTGAATTCTGGGATTAAGCCCTATACAGGCTATTATGACACTACCAGGTGTAGAGGAAGACAACTATCCAAGATCAGTGTGAAGCTGTATCTTGTTTTAATGACATGTTGGCAACAAACATTCAGCAGATGTTCTTTCAAGATCCCAAATGACACCTATAGCATTGGACATATACAGTATATCCAGTTTTTCAAGAGAAACAAAAAAATAAAATACACAATTCTCAAGACAGAAGTGTAGTGGGAAACCTAAATACTGGGTGACAAACAAGGTAAACACGTCATTGAAAACATGTCAGCATACAGGCCTTGCCTGCTGCCTCCTATATGAAGAAACAGGGTCGGATTTTCAGTAAAATCCATTGGTTTATCTAGGCTGTGAAGTTCAGGCTTGCTTCCGACCCCCTTGCCTAGCCAGCCAGCTCCCACATAGGGATAAAAAACAACAAAAAGTTTTATATGCTGAAGCCCATCAGGCCAAACAAGAATCAGATTAACATTGGGTGAAAACACAGTCAACACTGGAAAAGCGGTTGAATCATGGAGAGACCTCCGCTTTGTTTTGGATATAAAAACCAACCCAGAGTTGGCTTTCATCCTATTGGACAAGTAAACGAACATTACTGCAAAGCTTGTGAAATATATTGTGATTTATAGTGCTGGCTCAAGTTAGATAACGTTAGCTTGTCGGCTGATGCTGACCAGTTGCTAACGTTATCCGGTGC